GCAAGACCCCAGGTGCAGGCTGTGTAAAGGTACCCCCGAGACAATCCAGCACATAACAGCAAGGTGCAAGATGCTAGCACGCAGGACATACATAAAACGCCATAACCAAGTCGTCAGCATTGTATACAAAAACATCTGGAAGTTACGAGGTCAAAATGGGAGATGCCCCGCCTAGGGTGGTTGAAAATTACTGAGCTAAGATACTGTGGGACTTCCAGATACAAACAGACCAACAAAATGGTGGTGGCTAACCAACTGAATATAGTAGTGGTAGACAAGCAGAGGAAGATGGCCGTAGTGATAGACGTAGAGATACCGAATGATGCCATCTTCTGAACAAGGAACAGTTGAAGCTGAAGAAGTACCAAGGGCTCAGAGAAGAGCTCAAGAAGATGTGGAGGGAGAAGGTAACAGTGGTCCCAGTGGTCATCGGAGCACTAGGTGCAGTGACTCCCAAGCTAGGTGAGTGGCTCCAGCAGATCCTAGGAACAACATCCAAGAGCTCTGTCCAGAAGAGCGCAGTCCTAGGAACAGCTAAAATGCTGGGCAGGATCCTCCCATGTATCTGGTAGAGGATCTGAGCTTGAGAGATAGACCGCCTGAAGGGGCAAGAGGTGAGTATACGTCAATGGACACTGTACTGGTGACTATTTTTCAGCTTAACCAATCTAAAAATAAAAACAGAAGGTTCTGAACCTTAATTACCTATGAAAACTACTTCTCATTTCAGCCCTGGTGTTCACATCTCTACTTGTTTTCATGTTACACAATCTAAAGAACAAAGATTGACTGCACTCTGCGAAGATCCATCCAAATAATAATTACTACCAAAACACTCTTGTATAGTGTGTTAGTTCACACTAAATGTGTGAGCTGAATCAGTCTGCCATGTCACAAATAACACATAAATAATCCATAAAACAACAACCAACCGCTCAATGTGACCACTGAGAATTCAGTAAAAGATTTTGTATAAAATAAGGCTGTTGGCAACAGGAGAGAAAGGCAGCATCACTTTAAATGATTAAAGCTGAAACTGCAGTGCTGGCTTTAGTGGTTTGTTCATGTTGATCACGACCCTTCTGCACTCGTCATGTGCTTCAAAACCCCTCAGTGGTTCATACTGTGTGCCCGAGTTATAAAAGCAAGAACAACGAGTAAGAAGACATTTTTCAATGTTTTGTGTTTGCAGCAGATGGCCGCCACTGCCTCAGCCATACTCTGCCAGAGGTCTTCCTGTTAAAAGGGACTTTGCCCTCACCCAGTGTTTGATCATAAGGTATCACCTGATCTCATGGGGTTCACTCTTAAATAGATGCCAAAGTGTAACTTTTTTCATGGTGAATTGACTGATTCTTATATACTGTACACATTTTCTGCTCTCAAGAAGCACTCAAAGCATACCTCATTCACCCACTCATACAAGCACTTTTTTCTATCTAACTTTCGCACACATTCACACTCCAATGCATCTAAGAGCAACTTGGGGTTAGTATCTTGCCCAAGTCTGGCATGCAGACTGAAGCAGCCAGGGATCAAGCCACCAATTTTCCAATTAGTAGATGACCAGTTCTACCTCATGAGCTACAGCCACACAGAAAAGGCTTCTTCCTTTGTAGACAGAGAAACAAACTTCTCCGCCTCAGTTCTCACTTATACAATGGAGAAAAAACTTACACTGTGTAATTTTCTTTACCTCGTCCCCATTACTGTCTACTTTTTTGTTGTTGTGTCAGAAATCTCAAGGCTGGACTTACGATAGAATAGTAATAGAATAGAATTCAACTTTATTGTCATTGCACATGTCACAGTACAGGCAACGAAATGCAGTTTGCATCCATCCAGAAGTGCTTTAGCCATGATATAGATATATTACAATATATATTAGCAATAATATAGATATATTGATATATTACAAAATGGGTCTATTATGGGTATGTCACAATGTACAAAAGGTATGTTATGAATATGCTATAACTAATGTACAGGCTGTAGTGGGTATACAAGCTATGTACAGGCTATAAACAGGATATAAATATGAAACTATACAGAAATATGCAAGTTATAAACAGTTGTAAACAGTTGTAGAATTATAATTATCGTATTGTACAGAATGATTGTTCATGACATGAAGCCCCATAGTTGTTGTTGGTATTGCCACAACAAATGACCAAAATTAAGCAGTTATTTTACAGTATCAAAATCGTCTGCAGCAAGTAGCAGCATGCCGACTAAAGAGCATTACATGAATATCTCGTGTGTGAGTCATCCTGCCTGTGAGCCTTCCTCATTTTAGGACATTACAAGGAACAACATGGTTTAAATTTAGGGCCTCACAGGCGAGCACAGTCAGCATATTGTAGGGAATTTTAGGCCAAATGGAGAAATGGAGATGTAAGCTGGTGAAGGAAGACTGCGTAAAACAATAAAAATCAGTATGTGGGCACTTGTCTGCCAGTGATTTAACGCAGAGTTTGATCTTTTCTTGGATGACGGCAAATCTACACCCAGCTCACACTCCACACGCCCACATGCACGAACCTCCCAGGTATTTTTAGACTCGTTTTAAAACAGGATTCCAAAAATACAAGAATGAACTTTTTACCCTGAACAACAATACGGCTGGTTTTTGGTTTGCAGACAGAGGAACAACTGTTAAACAAAGGAAAAGATGAAAATCAGCTGTCTCACGCAGCCCTCAGCTGCTCCCTCGGCAATTATTTTCCTACACACCAAACCTCACAGACAGAGTGTGGCTGTGTGTATGTGATTGCCTATGTGCTGTAAATTTTTTTCTGTGTGCGTGTGTCTTGTTACATAGGAACGGCTAATGGCTGACATGCGGCAATGCCCTTGTATTTCTTGGCAGGACATCGCATGTCTCTATATAGAGACATAGAGCCAGAGAGGGTGGGGGTGGGTGGAGACTGCGGGTGTGAGGGGTCTGACAGATACAGGATGTGGATGGTGAATTCTGAATGGTCCCATGTGATCACTGCCTTCAGTGAGTCTAATGTTGAGTGTTTTTAGATCAACCTGGAA